AAGTATCCGATACTTTTAATAAGTATCCGATACGTATCTGCGAGTATCCAAAGAGTATCGGTATCTGATACGGATACGGTATACATACGTCACCCTATTTGAAGTATCCGTGCTTCATGTTGAAGAGTGAGAGAGCTTTGATGGGTGGAATTTTCACTAAATTGGGAATGAAAGTGAAAGCTTGGTGGCTTTGCGACACTGACAAACGCAGAGAGGAGATTCAGAGAGCAAGCAAATGAATCTTTTGGTTGAAGAAAAAAATATATCTTTGGTAGAAAGTTTCGCAACCTTTGGATTTTCTTTTTCACAACTTAGTCTGTTTTCTTGGACACGAAATCAGTTTATTTTGGTGGGAAAAGAGAGAGAGAAGGATTGTGATTTAGCATTTGGATGAGAAAAAATAATAATTCATTTTGTTTGTAACAAAGTGACGTTGATCTAATTTTATTTTCAGAAATTATGTTGACAAAGCAACACACACACAGTGATTTGTTTAATTGGACTCCTGAAATTAATTTGCTGGCGCAGAAGTCTTCAGAACCTCAAAGGAAGAATACGCTTGAATTGGAAAAACAATTCAACTACCAAAAACACTAAATCACTCCAAAAGATTATGACTATGACCATGAAACCGAAAACAGCATATCAAATAAACCTTAAAAAAATCAAACAGCTTCAGTAATTTGAGATCAAAAAATGTTGTAAAACGTTCTAAGAATGTAGAGTTTACCATATCAACAAGTCCAGCGCTCCTTTCACTTTTAAGTTCTTTTCTGTCTTCAATCCATCCTGCTGGCTGTCGTAAATGTTCATCTCTAATTCTTCGAGGTCCAGGCTGCTCCACATTAGGAGTGTTCACGGTTTAACCTTTGTCCCTGCATGGACGTGAAGGAAAGTGGAAAATTAGCACGTGGTTAATCCACTGCTTTGTACACAGATTTATTGTCCTAATCAATAATCAGGTATCTAAGAGTGTGAATTTAACTCAGTACAATTCTTAATTCCAGTGCAGAGGCCCAACTGCTCAGGGAAGTAAAATCAACATAATACAAGGCAAACATAAGTTCTGTTAATTATCTTTACATAAAGTGTATCTGCACTTACTTTGATAGGATAATGCATGATTTAATAATAAACAAAAATGAATTCTCAGTGTTGCCCACAAACAGTTTTGCAACTCCAAAGTAAAATACCACCATAGAAACTAAGAATTTTAAGGATAGACAAAAGCTAATGACCATTCTTACTGTGACTAAGCATAATAAGATTGCATTTCAATGGTTCCCTTGGGCAAGCATAAATTTTGGCATACATGTGTATTACAATAACAAGCAAGCCATCCTTATGGACAAACAATGAGAGTTACAGAATAACCTACGTTTCTTCATTTATGCAAAAAGGGTGTCAACGATTTGAACTGCCAAACTCATCTACTACTTGAAACAAAATTTAAACATTCTGTTTACAGATGCAGATAAGTAATGGAGTAGGAAAAAGAAAGGGAAAAAAATGTGGAAAAACAAACATTTATAGCATGTGGCACATACCCAAGTATAAAAAAGCAAACTAGTTCATGTAATTACTTTTGAATGAATATGTAGAACTCCGTGCATAATGCAAAAATTAATTTCCAGGATCAGAATTCAGAATAGTAAAGATTCATTACTACCTCGAAACATTTTCTCTAGAAGTGTAAATGTTGTGTACGCAATCTATTGCAAATATAACAACCTTCCCCCTTTTCTTGTTTAAGGTTCATGGGCAAAAAAAAGAGAGGATAAGGCATCCTCAACAAGGAAAAAGAAAAAAAATACATCCAAAAAGACAACCAAACCAAAAGACAACCAACTACAAACTATACAAAACAAACCGACACCCAATCTGAAGCAATCAAAAAAAGAGGGATCCCACGGAACACAGGATTCGCCGAAGCCCAAAAAGACGCCAAGTATCTCACTCTATCCCATAAATAATCTATATCCCTAGTTCCTCCTTCGAAGATACGCCCATTCCTCTCCAACCAAATGACCCAGGAGATTGCAAAGACTACACAACTCCAAAGAACTTTAGCTCTCTTCGACCTTCCAAAACTTGAAAATCAAATAATAGCATTTGAGCAACTCCTTTAGGAGCCACCCACTGTACATTGCCCAAACCAAACACCCTATTCCACAAAAGCCCTGCCATCGAACAATGCAATTAAAGATGATTCAAAGATTCTCCACTTTTGCAACACATTATGCACCATTGAGGATTGAGATACCATGAAGGTCTCCTCTTTTGCAATGAATCATTTGTCAAAGTGCCCCCATAAACCAAGATCCACATGAATAACTTTCGCCTTAAGAGGAGCACATGCCTTCCAAATCTTTTGTGAAACAAAAACTGAGGTACATGCGGAATATCAATGATTTTGTCCAGAAAGGATTTACAAGTAAAAGATCCTGACGAATGAATATTCCAAAACCATCGATCCTCCAAATTTGGAGACAAAAAAACATTTTCAAGCCTACAATAAAGATATCAACTCGGGAACTTCCCTATCATGAAGGTTGCGGAAAAAATTAAAATTCCACAAACAAGGAGCCAACGAAGAAACAGCCACTGATGCAACCGAACAATTATTAGATTGAGAAACTCTATACAGAAGTGGATAGGACTCAACAAAGGACAAAGAACCCACCCAAACATCCTCCCCAAAATCTTACCTTGTCCCCCTTACTCACCCTCATAGAAATGAATTGGGAATTGGATAAATGTGAGAAATAGACTTCCATGGAGCACGCCCATTACCCCTAGAAACCACTTGAGAATCCCTACCATTAACATGTAACCCATATTTACTTTTGATAACTGCATGTCATAATGAACCACGCTCAATTGGGAATCTCCATAACCACTTACCCAACAAAGCCATGTTTCTAGCCAGTATATTACCAACTGCCAAGCCCCACTTCTCCTTTGGTAATGACACCGTTTCCCATGTCACCAAATGATCCTTCCTTCCTTCATCCTTCCCTTCCCACAGAAAATCCCTCATTACCTTTTCTATGAATTTTGCTACCTTGATCGGAATCCTGAACAAAGACATGAAATAAATAGGAATCCCACTTAGCACTGTCTTAACCAAAGTGTACCTACCCCCACAGGACAATAAGGCCCTACTCTACCTTTCTAACCTCTTACCTATCCTTTCCACCACTGGATTCCAAAACATTTCACCTCTAGGGCTATCTCCCAGTGGGAGGCCTAAATACTCCATAGGAAATGTCTCAATCCCTCATCCAAGTAAATTGGCCACACTTTGAATCAGTCTTGAATCAGCATTAATACCCGCTATCCTACTCTTTTCTAAGTTAACCTTAAGCCCTGAAATTGCCCCAAAGAGCCTTACCACTGAAAAAAGGTTTGCCATTTGGCACTCGTCCCCCGTAGAGAAGAAAATAGTGTCATCCGCAAATTGCAGATGCAACACACTAATTCTATCTCTACCAAACTGTAAGCCTTCAAACAGGCCTACCTCTTTAGCTCTGTCAACCATCCTACCTAACACATCCACTACCAAAATGAATAGAAAAGGAGATAAAGGGTCTCCATGTCTCAACCCTTGCGAGGCCTTAAAACACTTCCCTGGCTTACCATTAACTATCACCGACATATTACAAGACACCAAACAACCCCTTATCCAAGATCTCCATCTCGCATCGTACCCTTTCTTGTTCATCACGAAATCCAAAAAACTCCAATCTACATGATCATACGCTTTCTCAAAATCTACCTTAAACACAATGCCTACCTTTCCCGTCTTCCGACACGCCTCTACCACGTCGTTTAACACCAGAACCACATCTAGAATCTGTCTACCTTGCACAAAAGCCCCTTGTGTCTGAGAGATTGTATCCCCTAAAGAACATCTCAACCTTTTTGACAATACCTTACCCAAAATCTTGTAGGGTGATGTAATCAAACTAATGGGTCTAAATTCTCCCATTCTAATGGCTCCATCCCTCTTAGGAATCAAACAGATAAATATGGCATTTGTACATAAATTAACCACCCCTGTCTCGTAAAATTCCATGAAAACTCTTACCAAATCCCCCTTCACCACCTCCCAGCAATCTTGAAAAACAACCATGGAAAACCCGTCTGGACCCGAAGCCTTATCCCTTTCACACTAAAAAACTGCTTCCCTAATCTCGTTTTCCTCAAAAGGTTGCTTTAACCATGTTGCACTTTTCTGATCAATGGGCTGCCACTCAAGCCTGTCTATCCCAAGCTTGACAATAGCATCCGCCGAAAACAAATTAGAATAAAAATCAAAAATCCCTTGAACTATTTGCTCCTCTCTATCCACCACTACACCTGGCCTTACTTCCAATCGCTTAATGAACTTCTTCCTTTTCCCATCCGCAATTCTATGAAAAATTTTTGAACTAACATCCCCTACCTTTAGCCATTTCACCTTTGCTTTTTGTGCCCAAAAAATCTGCTCCCTAAGAGTCAACTCTTCCAATTTCAAACCTAACTCCCTCCTCTCTCCCCTCAATGCCTCAATCTCACTCCCTTGCATCTCCAAAGCGTCTATTCCTCAATCCTCCACAAAACTTGACATTTAGTTGATTCCAAGTTCCCGAAAACCTCCCTATTCCACTGTTTCACATTCTCTTTAATCACCTTTAACTTTCTCATGAATCTATAACCCTCCCACCCCTGACATGTAGTAGTATTCCACCACTCCTCAAAGGCCTCTTTAAATGAATGATGTTCCAACCACATATTCTCAAATCTAAATGGAGCCGGATTCCACCTAAAAGGACAACTCTCAAACATCACTGGACAATGATCAGATACCAGTCTTGGTAATGCCTCCTGCCTAACATTGGGGAAAACCCCCTCCCACCCCAAAGAAAATAAAAATCTATCTAGTCGACAACATACCTGCCTTTCCCTTAAATTAGACCATGTGAATCGGACATTAAATAGAGGAGGGTCAACCAACTTGCACCCTCTAATAAAACCATCAAAATCTCTCATACTCCTATTGATTCTGTTCCCATTAAGCTTTTCCGAAACCTTCCTAACCACATTGAAATCCCCACCTAAACACCAATTAGGAGAACATAACCCAAATAACCATATAACTCATCCCATCAATCCTTTCTCCTAGAAGGGCAATTTGGACCATATACCCCCGACAACCACCACTCACTGAGATCTAGATTCCTAAACCTAATTGATAGTGAAAACTCACCAACCACTGATTCACACTCTGACGCAACCATCTCATCCCAAATACTTAAACTACCTCCTGATCTTCTCACTAATGATACAAAAGCCCACCTTTTATGCCTAGCTCCTTAAATACTTTTAATAAAAGTCCTATCACAAACCTCTACTTTAGTTTCTTGAAAAATGACAATGTCAGGTTGGTGTTTCCTCAAAAAACCCCCAATGATCCCCCTCTTCTTCTGGGATCCCAAACCCCTCACATTCCAACTAACAATCTTCATTGATAATCATTGTCACCCCTAACCTCCACGTGCCTTCTGTCGTAATTAATTGTACTCACCAAATTCCTTAACTCCTTGGCCTCCTTTCTAACCAAAACCCCTCCTTGTCTAGTACTCTCCCCCTTGGTGACACTATTATCCAATCCACTAACATCACCCTTCCCATTTAAACTTACTAGGGACAGCCCCATAACTTGAAGCAAATGCTTGAAATGGGGTACTTCATTTTCCTCAATTAGACATGACGCATGCTTGCTTAACTCCATCAACCAGTGCTCTGTCTCTGCCTCACCATCCCTCAAACTACTAAAAACACAGCCTTTGTTGTGCAAATGCATTGCAGAAGCTCCCTCTTGAGCATCATTTACTTGGCCTATATTTCTATTTGCATTATAGGACACAGGGTTAATGGTAGAAACATACCTCATGGCTCCCGAGATATTTGGAGTGATTCCTTTATCAGCCATTCCCCTAACAGAACACTTGAGACCAAGATACTGAGAAACCCCTATCCCATCCCCAAGAGAAAAAAAATCTAGAATAACAATGTGACCCCTCTGTGATGACAGTTCTGTAGAGCCATGATTAATAGTCACTGACATGATCCATTGTTTCGGAGACCTCTTCAGTTTCGTCCTCCTTGACAGTGCCCTTTTCAGTTTCGTCCTCCTCAACAGTGTCCTTCTCAGTAAAAAGATTAATAAGCTCAAGGTCAGACTCTTCTTAACCATCTTCTTCATGGCCTGAACCAGAGTCGTACTCTGAACTCTCATCAGACCCAGACCCAGACCCAAACCTATAAATATTCAGGGCTTGCAACACTTCGGTAGGTTCGAAACACCCTTCATCCACCTTTTGACTCAACAATTCAGCATCATTCTCTTCTTCGATCCTTTCATCGACCCATTCATTCACTTCCGCCGCTAATCTCTGCTCTCTTTCAACAGAGTCGTGCACCCTATCAGCTAAACCAAGCTGAATCTCATCTTGCGTTAGTCGATTCTGACTGTCCCTCTGTAAATACACATCACCATCACCGTTGACACCTCCTTTCGTCCCAGACGACAGCCGTCGCTGGACCTCTCTCCAAGTGGTCATCCTTCGTCGTCGAACAAATCGAGTTGAACTTCAACTCCCAGTGGTCGAAATTCAGCCCAGATTCCCTCCTCCAAGATATGAGCCCCATTCATATAACCCATTGGGCCCAATTCATTTGGATTGAACTCATCACTTCTTTGAGGCCCAGCATTATATTCCTTTTATTGTTTAGAAAATGGACCATCCCTTGGAAAAACAGAATTAGACTTCTGATAATTAATCTCCTGGCCCACATTTAGTAAATCATTTGAGCCCAAAATATTACTCGGCCCATCATGCCCCTTTTGTGGCCCATTCGATAACATTCTAATCCCCCTATCTCTTGGTCTTCCCCTTACCTTCCACTACAACACCGAAGCTGTCCCCAGACCCTTTAACTCCTTCGCCCCTTCGACTTCCCCTTTCCAAGCTTCCACGTGTCCTCCCTGATCTTTCCACCCCATCGGCTTCCCTATCGGCGGCGATAGGATCGCCTGAAGATGCTGGTCAGAAAACCTTTGGCCACGCTTCCACTTGGCGACGCACTGTCTTGGACAAAGATTTCAAACACACCATTGACGATTGTCCTTCCATTCACCTCCATGAACGCCAGCAGAAAACCAGAGTCGAAGCCTCTGACTTTCAACCTAGCCTCAAAAAGATTATCCAGAGCTATGGTTCTTTGATCAACTTCCAATAAACCACCACATCTTTCTCCTATGTCTTGGAAAACCTGATCATTCCAAAGGGTAAAAGGCAGATCACACACTGCAATCCACCCTCCATAAGAGACGATGACCTCTGGTTTAACATGCATCTCCTCGGACCACTTCTCCAATCTAACTGCCACACCTTTATCAAAGAATCACAGACCCTTTGCTCCTAGAAGGCTCCCCTCCGCACTATTACAAGCCCAAAACAAAGCACGATTGAGTTGAAATGGCCGTAGAACAATAGTCATCTTTAAATACTAACTCAAATTCTTTTCAATTTGATCCCAGCTGCTTGAAAAGTCACATCTTGTGCATACGACAACCCTCTCCAAATCACTCTTTAAACTACTCAGCCTATTCGCAGTAAACAAATCAACAAACCTCCTACCTCTGTTCACCCCTGTTTTCCTATCCATAAACCTCTCCTTTGTGTCCTTGCTCTGTACTTCTTCTATGAAGTTAGCCTTGACTTCCATGCCTTTGAAATTTGCCCTGGCATCATTGCAAATGACTTTACGAAGCATTGTAGCTATGTCTAGCCACCCACGATGATTATACCCCGCGCGGAAGAATAATATTGCCTTTTTTGACACCTCCCTCCCACTTCGACATCTCAACAAAAACACCCCTATCATTCTTATACTTCTATAAACAGAAAATAGCAGAGTTGCTATGATGCTTACTAAAGAAAGATCCTCCTTTGTAGTGCGACCCCAACTGCTGAAGTGCTTGGACAGCCCAGCTTACTCCTCCCAAATCGATCTTCAATGAGAAACTTTGCATTCTATTCCTCTCTATAATCTCCACTATACTCCCCCTAGATTTTTCGTCAAGCTGTGTAATAATAATCTTCTGTTCAATCCTCAGTTCTGAGGATAGCTCCCGATACGCCCTCATTGCAAAAGCCTCCTTGTGTCCAATCATACTCAAAAGCATAATCAATTTGAATGTAATTTCTCATCAACAGCATTATCAAGCAACTCTGCTATGGCACCAGAAGCCCATTTATGTGAAGTGGCATTTGAATGAAGGAACCTGGGGTGAATATGTAGATAATCACTGCCATCCGTTCATTTGCTCTAGAACTGTAAATGCTGTGTACACAATCTACTGCAAATATAACAACCTTTCCCCTTTTTTTTCTATTGAATAAATGACATGAACAACTATAATATTGAATCCTTTTTTCTCCCTTCTTTGTTTAGAAAAAAAGGACTGGGGACCGAATATTTACAGTAAATTGGACTCTACCAACTTGTCCAATACTTCAAATAACTTCCATTTTAAGATTCATGAATGCTAAAATCCAGTGGGAAAAAAGAATAATAAAGCAAGGGAGTGCAGGTGCACAACATGTGGCACATGTAAAGCAAGCATGAAAAAGGGAGGGCCCAATTCATTTGGATTGAACTCATCACTTCTTTAAGGCCCAGCATTATATTCCTTTTATTGTTTAGAAAATGGCCCATCTGATCTTGAAGGTAACCAAGATGGCAGCGGAACCAAGGTATGTGTAGAAAATTTTAGCGGACTAGGTTGAGGTCCGGCGGGCAGCCAAGACGAAGTTGCCGCCCGCCGGTGAAGAAAAAATATTAGGTTCTAAACCTGCTCTGATACCATGTAAGAATTTATGTATTATTGATTGATGAATTGATTGATATTTGTAATTGTTTATTTATTGAATGTTACAATGATTCCTATATATAGAAGAGTAGGTGGTAGATGGAGTAGGTAAAGTGGAGGTGGTAGGTGGAGTAGGTGAAGTGGAGGTGGTAGTGGTGTAGTGGGTTAGGTTTAGTGGAGTAGGTGAGGTGGTAGTGGTGTAGTGGGTTAGGTTTAGTGGAGTAGGTGAGGTGGTAGTGGTGTAGTGGGTTAGGTTTAGTGGAGTAGGTGAGGTGGTAGTGGTGTAGTGGGTTAGGTTTAGTGGAGTAGGTGAGGTGGTAGTGGTGTAGTGGGTTAGGTTTAGTGGAGTAGGTGGGTGTTGTTTTTTTTTTTTTTTTTTTTTTTTTTTTTTTTTTTTTTGTAATGTTGTTTTGTGGTTTTTGAAAATGTGGATCGGGGTGAACCCCCCATGAATAAAAGAGTGTGTATTTTGTTTTGTTTTGGTTTTGTTTTGTTTTGTTTTGTTTTTTTTTTTATTTTATTTATTTATTTATTTATGTATTTATTTTTTTATTTTATTTTATTTTATTTTATTTTGCTGGGACAGATGAATAAATAAAGAAATAAATAAAAAGAAAAGGAAAGAAAGAAAAGAAGCGAAGGTGGAAATATTAAAAACGAAAAAAGGTGTGGTGGGAATGGATGGAAAAGATGTGTTGGTGGGAGAGAAATGTTTAAAATAAAAAAATTTATATAATATATTTAATCCTTTGAAACTAGATGCTTGTTTTGATCAAAACCGTGTGCCAAAAGGACCACCCACGTGAGTTCAAACTGGCAAAAGGAAAAGAGAGAGGAAAAGTGTGGTAGCAGTGAGGTGTGTAGGTTCAGGTCGCACCAGAATTTTCATCTACAAAGCCAGAATTTGTGTCTGGTGGCCAAGGGCAGGTCGTTTCCGATGGCGGCGGCGGCAGCGCCAGAGAATGTGGGTCCGAATGTAACGGACTGTTTGAACGGGTTGCCGGTCGGACCTACGATGGAGAGCGAGTCGAGGATGGAGATGGCGTAGATCCAGCAGGCGAAACCGGAGGCGAACCGTTCTGAGCCGGCGGTGGTTTCAGTATCATGATGCTCCTCGTTACCCTCATACCCTCCTCCGCACCTCCACCCTCCGAGTCTTTGCTCGGTCGCACAGTGAAGGTGTGTTGTTTACGGAGCTTTCCGAGGCCGTTTTCCGGACGAGGACCAGCAACGGTGTCGTCCCAGGGCTGATCTAGTAAGCTCATGGCTTAGGTTAGCGAACTGTCTTCAGGCTCTTATGGAGGATTTCCAAGTTCTAACCCAGCGAAGATGTGGTCTCAGAATTTTGATAATGAAATTGACATGCATGGGCTTGAGACATACCCGGGCGTGAAGAGGATCACGATTAAGCCCCAAACAGACAAGTGGGTTTTCCCCGACACCAAGTCAGGCATCATTAGAGCTCAGTAAGTTGATTGAGCCATTGTAAGGCAGAGAAGAGTTCATATGGAATTTGTGGCAGCGGAGTGAAGGTATGTGTAGAGATCCGGCGGGCGGCCAAGGCGAGACTGCCGCCCGCCGGTCAAGCAGAATTATTTGATTCTAAACCTGCTCTGATACCATGTAAAATAAACTGATGTATTATTGATTGATTCTGATTGATTACAAGATTAATAAATTACAATTCCTATACAATCTATATATAGAAGAAAATGTGGTAGTAGGTGTAGTGGAGGTGATAGTGGGTTAGGTGAAGTGGAGTGTGTGGTGAAGTGGAGGTAGGTGAAGTGGAGTGTGTAGTGGAGTAGGTGAAGGTAAAGATGGGAAATTCTAACAGACAAGGTATAATATTTTCTAACATGGTTCAATATTTTCTAACATTGTTTAATATTTTTTAACAATTGGTTTATGTGAAGCAACAATGCGAGCAACAAACAAACAATTCACAACAGAGCTCAATCAGCTCTAACATCAATTCAGCTCCACTAGGTTTTATGCAAGCATCATCACCTGAAGTTAGAAGGCATGCAACTGTCAGAGATTCTACATCAGTAAGAGGATCTACAACAGTTAGAGGCCCAACTCCATTGAGAGGACCTGCTCTAATTAGAGGCTCTGCTTCAACTTCAGTTAGAGATCTTGCTCCTACATCATTTAGAGGTCCATCTCCTACACAATTTAGAGCACCTGCAACAAGGTTACCAATGAGGACTACACAACCCATGCCACCCTTGAGACCTCCTATTGTTGGAAGAATGTATATTGTCAATGGGCAATGCCGGTGGGGCCCTAGATCCAATTAACCATGATTTGTTTGTTTTCTTTACTTAGCTTTTTCAGACTTGGATATATTTTAAGGCTTGGTACTCTATTTGGAATTGGGTAGCTTCTTTTTGGACAAACAGTAGCATACTTTATTGTGTTTATGATTTGCATGACAAGTTAGAGATATGAATATGATTGGTTTTGACCTTCCATTCCAGTTGTTAAATTCCAATTTTTTTTGTTTTCTATTTCTTATTTTTTGCATCTTTAGTGAATTGGTTAAAATTTTATTCACAAATATTTAAATTTTGTGCATCTAAATATTTTAAAACTATTAGAATTTTTTAAAAAAAAATACACAATTTGACCTTATATAAATAAGATGGCCCTTAGTTTTGGCAGGAAAAATCCCCTCCAGAAGTTGGTGTAATTTAATAAAGATCCTATAGTTAAAGGGTTAATATAGGAAACATCTTAAACCTAAGGGTTCAAAATGGGATAAGAAACTTAAATTTTGAAATCGACAGGAAGCTGATGTGTCGTTGACATGGCAGGTTCCATTAGTTTTTTAGATGAAAGTTAGTCTAGGAGTAAAGTGGGAAGAATTTCAAACATAAGGAGTCAAAGTGGGAAAAATAAAACTTAAAGGGCCAAAGTGGGAAACTGGTAAAACTAGATAAAGATTGGGTAAGAATGTACCTTAGTAAAAACAAATTGCTGATGTGCTACCTCCAAAAGTACAAACATCCTTGATCATCTCACTACGTATGAACCTCTGAAATAGCAAAAGTTCTTGTTAAGAACACTGACAGAGATATAAAAAGAGAATTATTTAGAAACATTATTCCAGTCAGAAACATTATTTATTCTGTTAACATTATTTATTCAATGTTAACATTATTTATTAACACTAGATTGTGTCTCCCATCTCTCTCTCTCCCTCTCTCTCTCACACACACACACAGAGGATGGTGGAGACAATCAAACACAAAATTTTGTGTGGGAGAGAGAGAGAGAACAAGAAAGAAAGAACTGAAGGACTGTACAACCAGAAGGAAAAAATTTGTCATTAAATTTACTTCCCCACACGTGTCTTCCAAATACCATAAAATCTAAAATGAGGGATCTCATGCATTAGAATTTATTTGGGTGGACGTAGAATTTACTTCCCCAAGGATTTTTCACTATTTTTTTCCAATGATAAAACAAAAATTATGCAAAATTGTAAATATTATCCTCCTTTAGACTTTAAAAATTATTATCTTCGATTCAAATACATATAGGACATATAACAATTATTTATCCTTACATATGACATTAAATAAATATAAAAGTATATACTTTGCACGTTTCCTGCATGTGTCATGTCCTACATATTTTGAAAATTTTCCATGTCAAGGTATCCATGTTTCTTAGGATCAATGTGTAAACTCATCTCTAAAGATCATGGAATAAGGTTGTGGTTCGAGAAATAACCAAAAGTACAAAGGGTTATGCACCCAACCTGTGCAAATTCTTGTTCTCTACTTTAGAACAAATCGAGAACTTAGATTATCTTAGAATTTCCAAGTAATTATTTTTATCGATACAAGCAAATCACACCATATAAAAATGGTATAATAACAAGGCACAATAAAATATAATTACTTGAATGTAGAAAGATAAAATTAAATGATATAGATGTAAAAAATGGCCCCATCTCTTATGAGCAAAGGAGAGACACAAAGATTAGATGAATTGTGCAGACTAATCCCAACCTTTGTGTGACACATTAATAAACATTATTAGCAACTAAATTGCAACCAAAGATATGTTTTTATTTATTTATAATAAGTACCAAAGATATGTTTCCATAACCGATGATTAAAGCAAATAAGAGGTCCTTCAGACTCATGGATTGAATTGAAGGGAAAGCATATAGATGAATCCTCTGCCTCGTGATTTGGAGCAAAGATGGCAACAAAAAAGCAAGGTTGCTAACTCCATGAATTGAAGTAGAAGCAAGAAATGATATAATCAAATTGAATATAAAATTATTAAATAGATGGTAGAGCTAATCACACGCAGCAATTAAAACACAAGTTAAGTTAGCATACCCTTAGGAAGGTTAGAAAAAGATTTGATGCCACAACTTAGTTTGAAAATCCACTACAGCTTTAGAGGTGATTAAGGTCAAAACCTCTGATTTCTTGCTTGCTAGAATGCATAAATAGAGATTCAGGGCATCAAAACTTTCTCAAGGTCTTTCTATGACCAAGATGTTTCATGTCACTAAGCCATAGAGGTCATGGCATTATAGTCTTAGATTAGGGTTGGGGTTTGGATGAGGTTTTTGTTTTTGGGTAGGTAAATCATAATTTCTACACTAAAAAAATTAGTTATTACAGTGAAGCTCGTTACACTCCCTAAGGCAACACATCCTATGAAGAGGGTAACACGCGTCTAGCTTCTACACAAAACATAATCTACCGAGTAGATCTAAAAAAGTTCAGAACGAGGCCAAGCATAGGAAAAACAACTAGGGCCGGTAAATTAATTGCTGGAAATTGTGTTCATGCATATAATATGATAGTGGTGTTGGTGGTAGATAGTGGCATGTATAGAATATGATAGTGGTGTTGGTGGTAGATAGTGGTGTGTATAGAATATGATAGTGGTGTTGGTCTTCCTCATATTTTTCGGAGTTCTTCTTCTTCATATTTTCTAAGTTTAATGAAGAGCAACAAAAAACACAGCAGCCCTAAAACCGTCATAGCCATGTCGGAAGTCACGTCCGAAACCACTTCAACCCCTGCCGCTGCCATTCCGGTGAAAACGTCCAACTCTCACTCTCTTGTTTTGTTACTCTCTCCAAATTCAAGTTGGTTAGTTCCTATCCCCCTTGAGTTTGCGGGGGGCTGTTAAAAATCCACTTACTACACACCTACCACTACCACCTACTACACACTCACCTACTCCACCTACTCCTCACCTACTCCTCACCTACGACACACTCACCCTCTTCTATATATAGGAATCATGAATCATTGTAATGTATATCAATAAACATACAACAATCAATAATACAATCATTTCTCTTTATACATTAAATTTCTACACGGAACAATGTCCAAGAATGCTCTTTCATTATTGTTGGGCAACTCAAGACACAACTAGGTTAAAATACGTTTTTAGAATGTGCTTTTATTATTGTTGGGTAACTCGGGCCACAACTAGGTTGAAAAACCTTATCCAAATTAAAAATAAAACTTTTTTCAGTAGTCTAGAATAGTGACTTCTACCCATCTGGTGCTCAACTTATCCTTGCATTGGGGCCAAGAAGCACGAACATGTATGGACACGACACCGACACATTGACATGAAAATTTTTAAACAATGATGGACACGACATGTGGGAGAAACGTGCAAAATATAGGGTTTTACATATTTATTATATATCATATACAAAAATAAATAAATATTATGTCATAAATATGAATATTTAAATAAAAGATAATAACTTTTAAAGTCTAAATGATGAAAGACCTAATCCAAATTAAAAATAAAACTTTTTTAAGTAGTCTAAAATAGTGACTTCTACCCATCTGGTGCTCAACTTATCCTTGCATTGGGGCCAAGAAGCACGAACACGTATGGACACGACACCGACACATTGACATGAAAATTTTTAAACAATGATGGACACGACATGTGGGAGAAACGTGCAAAATATAGGGTTTTACATATTTATTATATATCATATACAAAAATAAATAAATATTATGTCATAAATATGAATATTTAAATAAAAGATAATAACTTTTAAAGTCTAAATGACGAGAATGGGTATAAATTTACATTGTTTTTATTTTATGATTGAGTTCCAAATTATTTATTCAAACGTGTACATGTTTTTCATGTGTGGCCCAAGTGTTAGGAAGTGTTCAATGATTGCCGTGTCATTTCGTATAAATGCCAGACACAACATGTTGACGTCTTATGTGTCTATGCTTCTTAGCATTGGGGTAATCTTTATCATGTTAATTCCCAAAATTTATATTTATTGAGTTTAATGAATTAAATTATTTTTGTAGGAAAAACATATCAATTAACGTGATGATTTAGAGAAGAGTACAGTCCACAATGCATCAGTTTACATGTGATTGTTGCTAAACATTGAAGGGGAATTTACTTCCCATGCTTCAAGCAGTAATGCACGTGTGGTAATTAAATCCAACACCCCTCCAACAATTAGCAAAAACCATTTTGACCCCTTCAACTATGAAAATGTATACTTTCAAAAAGGGTGTAATTGTACAAGTTTCAAAGTTGAGGGGGTCCATATGTACAGGTTTATAGATGACGAAAGTAAATTGTTATTCGTTAAAAGTTGAGGGGGTGTCGGTGTAATTAACCCTAATTAAATTCATCGTGGGCCTTAGTACTCTTGCAACATGCATTAACAAGATTTTGTTTGGCTAGTCTTCATCGAGATAAAGCTCTTAACAATTATTTGGCAGTCAGCTTCATGTACAAGGATAACACTGTTGACACTCCATTTTAGTTACCTAAATTCAATTTGAGAGCACGAAAGTTTCAGCGAACAATCAAAGTCAGCAACACAAGTGTTAAAGGCCTATTTCTCCATTTCCATAATGCAATGGGTCAGGCCCTACCAGGTCATGAATTTTTTGGGCTATTGGAATCATTGTGGCACTAGGAGATATAAACAAGCTTGGCCACCAGACCCTCTTAGCCTTACATAGTGTAAACTGAGGGAGAGAAATAGAACCTTTGAGAATGTTGAGTTTCAATACTGCACAAGTCCCTCATGCTCAATTCCTTTCAATTTTGGTTGTTCGGAAACACTCCTGGGTTGTTATTCTCTTTTGCGGATGTCATAGAAGATTCATCTTTGAGTAGCTCCTGCAGATAACAAGTCCACATGTGTTGCATCATTTTTGAGGTTTCAATGTATATATATATATTCACCTCTTCCAAAAAATAAAAGAATCATATTAGCCAAATTCAAGATAGCAGCTATTAACATAATTTATCTTCAAGTAGATACATCTCTAGTAACCATGCTGTAGATACTTTGTTTATATTGTATAGCAAAGTAGCAAACTAAAAATAATGATTGAGGCTAACAAAGTAGTGCATGAGGGGAACATAAAGCTTACCGAGAAATGGAGCAGTTCTCACCACTTTCAAGAGTATCCATGCTAAGACAGCCACTAATATCATCCGTGTCTCGCTGATCAAAAAAAATATCATCTTTGTCTCTTACTTTCTTCTGTGTTTCTTATATATACATTTCTTCTTAAAAGTGTTTCCAAAACATCTACTTATCAATAAATTTAGTTTTAGAAATCAGATTATAGATAGACACCGACGGTTTTAAACCCGACTCTATCATATCATTTACAAGAATTTCAGCCTCTTTCCACTTCGCATCCTTGCAAAGAACTTCTGTAGTCAAACTGTAGCTTGCCACATTTGGAACCATTCCATTCTCACCCATTACTTTGAGCAGTCTTAGGGCCCTATAGGAGTTACCCTCTTTGCAGTAGCCATAAATCATCATGTTGTATATTACATGGTTTGGCTCCAAACGCATCTCACTCATTGATCTAAAGAGTCTTGATGCTTCTTTCATATTACCTTTTCTACACCACCCACTTATCAAGACACCATAGGTGCAAACATCTGCCTCCAAACCAGCCTTCTGCATGGAGTGATATAATTCAAACGCCTTTTCCATGTCATCCCATCGAATAAAAGCATCAATTAGAATTGTGTATGTTGTCTTTGTTGGAGAAATGCCTCTCTCCTCCATCTCCAAAATAAAGCTTGAAGCTCGTGCTAGATTTCCCGCTCTAGAGAAACCTTCAATTAGAACATTATAGGTAATCAGAGATGGTGACAAACCATTGGACTTCATTTCATTGAACAAATTTGCAGCCTTGTCTAGCTTCCCAACACTACAAAACCCGTCTATTAGAGTGTTGTAAGTGATTATATTTGGACTCAAACCAGCCCTCTCCATCTGACCCACCAACTTCTCAGCCTCCAACACCTTCATCTCTCGACACAACCCACCAACTAAAGTGTTATATGTCACAACATTACACACAATCCCTCTTTCAAGCATTTCATCAAACAGTTGAAATGCATCACTCACTTTGCCATCGTTACAATACTCATTCATTATAGAATTGTAAGTATAAATGTTAGGAGAAACACCATAGAGCTTCATCTTCTCCCATAAGTCAAACCCATCTTTTTTAAACCATTTTTTGAAAAAACCATTGATCAAAACTGTACAAGTAAATTGATTAGCAACCAAACCCAACTCCCCCATTTCATTGAACAACTTCTTTGCTCTATTAATATCACCACTCTTACAACACCCATCAATCAAAGTAGTGTAGATTACAACGTTTGGACACAAACCCAGATCCTCCAATTGAGCTAGAACCTCAAAAGCTCGATTTAGATCACCATTCTCGCAACAACCCTTTATCATTATTCCAAAACTATACACATCCATTACGACCCTACCCCTCATATCCTTAAAAACCCACCAAGCTTTTTCAAAGTTGTTGGACCTAAGAAGGCAAGCTAAAAAACCATTGAAAGAATTTGACGAGGGCACGAGGCCTTTTTCGATCATTTCAATGAAATAAAAGAGGGATTGTTCTGGTAACTGAAGCTGAACATGGGTATTGACAATGGATTCGTAGAGAAGAGCGTGGTGGGGCTTGAAATTCAAATGGGTTTGTGTTAAATGGTTGAGAAGAGATGAGATAGTGAAGAATGAGGAGGAGATTCGACCGGAGAGAAGACGGAGGAGTAGAGATTGGGCATGTGAGAGCATTTCGGAGGAGAGGAAGAGGTGGAGAACGAAGGATATGGATTGGTGAGTGTGATCAAAGCCATGGAGTGTTGAGGAGTTGAAGAGTGAGAGAGCTTTGATGGGTGGAATTTTCACCAAATTGGGGATGAGAGTGAAAGCTTGGTGGTTTTGCGACATTGATATACGCAGAGAGGAGATTGAGAGCAAGCAAATGAGTCTATTGGTCGAAGAATAAAATGGATCTTTGGTAGAAAGTTTCGCAACCTTTGGATTTTGTTTTTGGGAGCTCGCTCTGTTTTCCTTCAACATGAAATCAGTTTATTTTGGTGGGAATAAGAGAAAGAAGGATTGTGATTTATATAGTCTTCTTAAAAATATTTACATGTCAATAGTCTTTGGGGGAGAAATACCATAGTCTTCTTAAAAATATTGACGTATTCATGAATAAGATCTTGTTTGACATCCCTTAAAGGGTAAATTATGGTTTGTAGCCTTCTCATTTTGTACCAAATTTTATTTTAATCTTTACATATAAAATTATGACAGTCAATCTCTGTACTTCTAGTTAAATCTTACTTTGATCCCTATACATGAAATTATGACAGTCAGCTCCTTATATTTTTGGTCAAATCTCATTTTGGTTTCTACGCAAGTGTTAATGTCATCTTTCTGTTATTCAATTATTTAAATCTTTAATAAAATCTAATCATGTGACAATAATGTGACTATGACATAAGGGCAAAAGAGGAAAATCATCTATATTTTTCACCAATACACACTTTATCCTAAAATTTACATCAAATTATGATTATAGTAGGTTAAAACAAAACGCAAATGATGAACAATTAAAATGATGAATTAGGGTTTTGCACAAATTGGAATCACGAAACTCAATTTTTCACGATAACACAATCTTCTGTCTATTCATCTTCATTTCTCTTTAATTTCTTTGTCGCATTTTTTTTTATTTCAAAAGCTCTATTTTCTTGTATCTTTGTCGTAATTTTTAGCATATGAACATATATATACGTATTGTATCATATAACTCTCACGTGCTTATCACATAAGACAAAGTGTATTGGTGGGAAACATTGATGATTTTCCTCTTACTCTCATTTCGTAGTCACATTTTTGTCATATAATTAGATTTTGTTAAAGATTTAAAAATAAAGTAACATAAGAGAGACATTATTGACACTTGTGTAGGAACCAAAGTGGAATTTGAGCAAAAGTGTAGGGATTGACTGTCATGATTTCATATGTAAGGATCAACGTGAGATTTGACCAAAAGTGCAGGGGATTAACTATTATAATTTTATGTATAAGGGTCAAAGTGAGATTTTATGCAAAGTGCATGGGTGCAAAGTATAATTTACCCTCCCTTAAATAAGTGCACTTATTTGGAGAAGTTTACTTATTTTGGTCACATTAACTCTTTACTTTTCTGTATATCTTTCGTAAAATGTCAAAAGTACACTTATTTAGATCATTTCATACAACCTCTAAATATATAATTTAATATTTTAATGTTTATAAAATTTATCATTAATATGTAATTTTAAATAAGATGATGTGACTTAAATAGGATAGTGACTTTTTGACTTTTTGTCTTTTTTCAATTATGCCAAACTTGACCTAACTCTCTACTTTTCTGCATATCTTTCATAAAATGTCAAAAGTACACTTATTTAGATCATTTCAAACAACCTCTAAATATATAATTTAATATTTTAATGTTTATAAAATTTATCATTAATATGTAATTATTTTTTTAAAATTGAATTGAATTAATATTTTCCCTTGAACTTTTTCATATTTTAGCTTTTTTCTTCTTTCTTTGTAAATGCACTTAAATTTTGATATACTGAGATTGTATTTGGTTCATAGATTTGGAAAGAAAAAAGAAAAAAGATAAATAAAATATGAATAAAATATGTCTATATTTCACATAGTTTTACACATCTTTTTCCCTTTTCCTTTCCAAATTCTTTCCCAAATCTATGAACCAAACACAGTCTTAAGAAATAAAATATTTAAGAAAAAATTCATTTTTTTAAAAACTAAACAACGAAAAAAAATCACGTTTTTTGCTTCTTTATAAAAAAATGTTAAAGACCCAAATGAACTACCAAAAATATTTTTTCAAATACTAAAATGGAGTGGTTTGGATTTCACACAATATCAATATTTGATCAAATGTTTAATAATTCATTTGGATCAAAATTGTATTTTGTTTTTTTTTTATTTTAAATATGGATGTGAGACTTATTTATTTATTAGTCCTTTGTAATAAGAGAGAGAGAGAAAAAAAGAGAGAGAGAGAGAGTGTGTGTGTGTGTGTGTGTGTGTGTGTGTGTGTGTGTGTGTGTGCCTTGATCGGAGGAGGAAAAAAGTGAAATCTATTGACGCAAATTGTGTGGAATTACTGGAGATTCAAGCTAATACTTTGGAAAAGCCAGATAAGCAGATTATGAAGGAAGCTGATGTCTGCAATGACAACAGTGAGAAGATACATAAAGATAATTTGGGATCCCATAGATCCTTCAAGCAAGCCCTCTTACGATCTCGATTCAATGAGACTGAGAGAGAACGCAACTTTGCCTGTAAGGCGGCTTACTTTTCCTCTGATGAAGAGATGGACAATGAAGACAAAACAGAGGATGCTTCGGAGAATCAAGGAAACGCCTCAACTCCGATCATTAAGCTACCTGCTGGTCTCCTTAAAAAGGTCAAAGAACCATGAAAGAAATGCCTCATTGTAAGACTCTTGGGAAAGAATATTGGATATAACTTGTTTGTAAATCGGATGCGCAAGCCATGGAATCTTCAAGCAGGTTTTGAAACTCTAGGTATTGGAAATGGTTTCTTCATTGTGAAATTTGAAGTGATGGAAGGTTACTCTAAGGTCTTCATTGGGAGCCTATGGGTAGTGATGGATCGGTATGTGACAGTTCGAAAATGGCAACCTGATTTTAAATCAGATGAGGCGGAAGAGGATATAACCGCCATCTGGGTGAGGTTCCCTAATCTTCCTATTGAATACTATGATGAAAAAGTCCTCTATCACATTGCGAAGGTGCTTGGCAAGCCCTTAAAGGTAGACATTAATACCGCCATGGCAGCACGTGGAAAGTATGCAAGCGTATGTGTTGAGATGGACCTACGTAAACCATTCATATCCCATATTACCATTGGAAGTTACCATTACGTTGTGGAGTATGAACACTTATACCTTCTATGTGTTTTCTTGTGGCCGTGTTAGTCATCGGAAGGAGAAGTGCCCAAAATTTTCGATGATACAACCGGAGAAGGCAATACAAAATATGACCGTTAACCAAACTGACACAGTGATTGGGCTGAGAGAAACACAACCCAATGGGAAAAAGAATAAAGAGTTCTCGAATGAAACAAAAACCCATGGTTATGGGCCGTGGACCATAGCAACCACTAAAAGAAAATACTATCATGGAAAGCAAAAACAGAAGGCCCATGTCCATAAGAGCAATCGATTTGAAAGTTTACAAGTGGACCAAGACCATAGAGAACCTAGTGCCGTCCAGGAAATTAAAGAAGCTCAAAGAAAATATGTTGACCTCAACATGGGCCCTCAGTCCTTTCAAGGAGAAATTTCTTATGTACAAAAACAAAGCCCAATAGACCCAACTAAGCTCATGAAAAAATGGAGGGCCAGACCTAGGGTTGGATGTTGCATCTGGGCCCAAAGAAAAAGAGGTGATCTGCTGTGATAACCCACACTATTCCAAGCAAAAAGGCTCACAGCCTAGCTCAAATGAGCTAAATGCTCAATGAAGCCCTAACTCTCTTCCCGTTACTACAGTACTCACCTTTGGCAATAATACCAATGCATTAATTACGGCCACCGCCCCTGATATCCGAGTGCAAACCAGAAAAAGCAAACCACCAGACTCGCCGGTCAGAAAATGAGGGACGTTCTAATGAAGGAAACGATAGAGAACATCCTAATGTCAGAACACCGAGAGTGGACCAATTCAAAACTCTGATGTTCTTAGAACCAGAGAAAGAAGTGTATCACCACGTCGGAATCGATTGGTGGCTAGAAGATGTAAAGCTTCTGATTCAACCATGGTGGGAGATAGATTCGCACAACGTGAGACACATGGTGCTTATGAAACCAGCGAAGCCACTGGAGGAAGACCAGAAGAATGTGCGAAATATATTGGGATTGTCTGAGACAGAGGATTGGCCAACCCATAAACTGTCGTCTATGGATATACTAATATGGAACTGTAGGGGTGCTGGTAATGCTCGATTCCGGAGAAATCTGTGTGAATTAGTAAGGCTACATAAACTGGACATGATCATACACATGGAGACAAAAGTGGAGCTAAACACGATGGGTATGTTTTTCAACAATCTGGGGTTTACGACCTTAACCCATGTAGATCCAATTGGCAGAAGTGGAGACATTTGGCTACTTTGGAATCCTAGTCAAGCTAATGTGGGAGTTCATGATGCTTCTTCTCAGATGATCACATCTACTATTTCAAGACAAGATTATCCTGATTGGGTATTATTTGCAGTTTATGCTAACCCAAATATTCGAATGAGAGATGAACTCTGGAATGATTTGACAACATTGGCTCAACATACCCAAGAACCATGGCTGGTAGCCGGGACTTTAATGACTACTCAAGCTTTGAGGATAAAAGGAGCTTCTCAACTTCTCAATCTCAAAGCTTAAGCCAGAGTCAAAGAAGGAGCCAAAAATTCTTTGATAGAATTAGTAGTTGCAACCTCATGGATTTAGGTTGTGTTGGCCCTAAACTCACTTGGACTAATAATAGGAAAGGGTGGGCCAATACAATGGTGAGATTGAACCGTGCACTCTGTAACACAGAATGGCAAACTTTATTTCCTGAGGGCTATGTTCGCAACTTGCCTCGGACCTATTCAAATCATTCTCCTCTTCTTTTTCACACTCAAGGTACAAATCCTTCTATTCCTCCTAATAATTTATTTAAATTTCAAGCTGCTTGGTTATCACATAAGGATTTCAGTGCAATTGTTGATAATAATTGGCCCAGGCAAAATAATAATCTATTGGGAAATTTGGATTACATGACATCTGCTTTGCAGGATTGGAACAAAAATATTTTCGGTAACATTTTTTGTCGTAATCGCTGGTTGCTTGGCAGAATTAATGGGATCCAAATTTCCCAAGCCAAGAACTATTCCCACAACTTACATCAACTTGAAAATGATTTTACTATTGATTATAATAGAGTTTTATATCAAGAAGAGTTATTTTGGTTTAAAAAATCTCGTGTAAACTGGATCACTCAGGGTGAGCAAAATACAAAAAAATTTCACATGTCTACCATTATCAAGAGAAGGGAAACAAAAATTGAAGTTTTGAAAAATGAGGAAGGGGTTTGGGTGGATAACCCCACTCAGTTAAAAATCTTAGTAAATGATTACTTTCAAAACCTCTTTGCATATACTCAAATTATTAGCCTTGATCATTAGAGTAATCTGATCAAGCACATCAGCCCTGATGATCAAATTGAAATGAGTAGGAATGTTTCTGCTGCTGACATTTGGAGGGCTGCCAATAATATTAAAGCTATTATTGTAGGGATGGGTTCCAAGCAATTTTTTACCACACCTTTTGGAAGACTGTGGGCCAATCTGTGATCGAATTTGTCCAAAAATGTTTTTCTTCTTGTAGCATTCCCCCTGAGATTAATAGAACTCTTGTAGCCCTTATCCCTAAAGTTTCTAACCTTGAGAGTGTGAAACAATTCCGGCTTATCAGCTTTCATAATGCTACCTACAAAATCATTTCTAAAATTCTTGTCAATAGAATTAAGCCTGTCTTGAATGATTTAATTAACCCTAATCAGAGTAGCTTCATTCCGGGTCGCTCCACTCATGATAATATCATAATCACTCGGGAAGTTATTCATACTTTGAGAAAGAAAAAAGAGAAGGTGGGATTCATGGTTTTTAAAATTGATCTTGAAAAGGCTTACGATAACATTTCTTGAAATTTCCTTCACCAAACTCTGAAAGAATTCCACTTTGATGAGAAATTGGTGAAGTTGATCATGAGTTGTGTCACTAGTGTGAACATAGCTATTTTGTGGAATGGTGAACCCCTCGAAGAGTTCAAACCAGCTAAGGGTTTAAGACAAGGGGATCTCCTATCCCCTTATCTTTTTGTGTTATGCATGGAACGACTCTCAACCATGATTAGCCAGCAAGTGCAAGGTAAACAATGGATTGGGCTTAGCTTGGCTAAGAATGGTCCTAACATATCACACTTGTTTTTTGCGGATGATTTGATTTTGTTTGCTAAAGCAAACAAGCATAACTATAACACTGTTTTGCAAGTCTTGAATGAGTTTAGTGAAATCTCTGGATTGAAGGTTAACCTTCATAAATCCCATATGTTTGTGTCTCCTAATATTGTCAGAAGAAAAGCATCTCAGCTTAGTAATATGTGTGGTATTCCTCTAACTTGTAATTTGGGGAAATACCTTGGGACCCCATTGCTTCATGATAGAGTGTCCAAAACTCATTTTTTGTTTATTTTGGAAAAACTGAAGAACTTATCTTTTTGTGTTATGCATGGAACGACTCTCAGCCATGATTAGCCAGCAAGTGCAAGGTAAACAATGGATTGGGCTTAGCTTGGCTAAGAATGGTCCTAACATATCACACTTGTTTTTTGCGGATGATTTGATTTTGTTTGCTAAAGCAAACAAGCATAACTATAACACTGTTTTGCAAGTCTTGAATGAGTTTAGTGAAATCTCTGGATTGAAGGTTAACCTTCATAAATCCCATATGTTTGTGTCTCCTAATATTGTCAGAAGAAAAGCATCTCAGCTTAGTAATATGTGTGGTATTCCTCTAACTTGTAATTTGGGGAAATTCCTTGGGACCCCAGTGCTTCATGATAGAGTGTCCAAAACTCATTTTTTGTTTATTTTGGAAAAACTGAAGAACAAACTTACTGGGTGGAAATCTGGGATGTTGTAAACTGAAGAACAAACTTACTGGGTGGAAATCTGGGATGTTGTCCTTGACAGGGAGAACAACCCTGATACAATCTGTCACTAGTGCTATACCAGCCTATATCATGCAAACTATGGAGCTCCCGAGAAAAGTTTGTGATGAGATTGATAAGATTAATAGAAACTTTCTTTGAGATGATAGCCTTGAGAAAAAGAAAGTGCATCTTATTAATTGGGATCAGGTCTGTAACCTGAAAAAAGATAGGGGTCTTGGGATTCGCAAGGCTAGAGATCAAAATCTAGCTCTTCTATCTAAATTGGGTGGAAAATATTAATTGGGGAGAATACTCGCTGGGTTGATGTGCTCAAAAATAAATACTTGGGTCAGCAGCCTTTCTTAATTAAGAAGAAAGACAAAAGTCTATCTCACATCTGGAAAGGCATCCTAAATACCAGGGAGTTCGATGGATGCTTGGAAAAGGTAACAAAGTGAGAGTTTGGAAAGATTGGTGGTGTGGTTATGGGGTTTTTGAAATGGATTTGAACACACCTACCAATCAAATTCCAAATTCTGAGCATATTATTATGGAGTCTCTTCTTGATGCACATGGTGATTGGGACTTAAATCATTTGCACAACTCTCTTCCATTACCTATGGTTACAACTATTTTAAAGCTACAACCACCCAAATTTAATGCTAGAGAAGACACTCCCAGATAGATTAAATCCTCTGATGGAGAGTTCTCCACATCCAGTGCATATGATTTAATTGTTGATCATCATAACCAGGAAGGAGATTGGGGATGGATTTGGAAGCTTAAGTTTCCTCAGAAACTTAAGAGCTTCTTGTGGCTTGTTCTTCATGAAAAAATTCTCACTAACAAAATGAGAAACCTGAGGGGTCTTACTTCTAACCCCAACTGCCCTTATTGTGCAAACTTGGAGGATATTGAACATTTGCTTTGGTTCTGTCCTTAAGCTATCCAGATATGGTGCCATGTTTATAGTAAGGAATGGTACTGCAGTAGGCTCTTTTTACCTTGGAAAGATTGGATCACCCAAAATATGAAAGGGAAGAACAAAACCCCACACTTGTTCCTCATCTCACTTTGGGCTATTTGGAAAAATCGAAATAAAATGGTTTTTGAACATAAAACTACAAATATTCATGAGAGTGTTAAACTTATATCAGATTATGCTAAAGACATCTTTCAAGCTTTTAGTTTTGATGTCACTAAACCACTTCAAACTAAAAGTATTATTGTGTGGTCTTGTCCAAATGCAGGAAAAATCAAACTTAACACGGATGGAAGCACTCGCAGACATGGAGGAGATGGAGGTTTTGGTAGATTATTCCAGGATGAAACAGGAGCATGGATTAGTGTATACAATGGAAGGCTTAAAATATGCACCTGTCTTGAAGCAGAACTTTGGGCAATCTACAAGGGGCTGACCATCATACTCCAATGAGGTTTCAATCAAGTGATAATAGAAACGGATGTGGAGCAAGTGGTGAAACTGTTAAGTGATGATCTGGGAGAAAGATGTCCTTTTCGGGGCATTGTGAAAGATGCACGTATTATCATGAGAGGATGTGATTGCTCCATCCAACACATTCGAAGAGAAGCTAACATCTGTGCTGATGCAATGGCCAAATTAGGTGAATATCAATCTGGAAATCTTCTTATTGTAAATGAACCACCTAAAGAACTCTACACCTTACTTGTAGCGGACATTGTGCATCTCTCTGAGGAGAGTGATAGGACGTAGTCCTTGTTTGATTTTATTTTCCAATGTACCCAAAAAAAAAAAAAAAAAATAGTCCTTTGTATTTTGATGTACAGTATTACAAAAATGCATAATTAATTATTTGTGTTCCTTACCAAATTTCACCTTATCTCGTGAAAAACAAAACTATCATAGTAAAAAAGTTCTATTTCTCTTCAGTTTTCATCATGTTTTATAATTTTTCACTAAATTTGTAAATTATAGAGTTTTTTTTCTCATTAATTCTTAATAAATAATTCAAAAAAATTATAATTTCTTACCAAATTGCTTAACCAAATAGATGAGCATCTCAAACGTTGGTCAATTTCAATTTCAAACGCGTTTCACCCAATTATTCTTATTATCATTATTACAACAAATTTGATATATATATAAAAAAAAAATACGACTTCCATCTCCAAAAATAAAGGGAAATTTGGTCAAAACTCCCTCATAATAAAACTTTAATGTTAAGGATAAGTATAAAATGATTTTCTCAAAAAATTCAACACATACCACTATTACCAAAATATAAAATTTTAAAATAATATAAAAATATCGATTTTTAATAAAATTAGTATTTTTAAAATCATCTCATTAAGATTTATCAAATAAAATCCATATTGACCATGAAATTCTTTAAAGAAAAATTTTAAAAAAATATTACCATTGAAATTGATGTAAATAGTAACATGTTACTCTATTTGATAATAAAATGTTACTCTATCTCACAGGAACATGTTATTCTAGTTCACAATAATATGTTATTCTAGCAATATTGTCTATGAAAAAAAAAGAAAAGATATTTTACTTTATCCTTACTCAATTATGAGCCTCCTCCGTAAGGAGTTTATGAAGCAAAATAAATTAAGCTATCATTTTCATTAAACAAGGGTCCAATGGAATGGTTTTGGCTAAATTTTCCAAAAATTAAACTCTAACCTTTTCATCAAATTTAAATAAAGAAAAATGATGCCCAAACTGACTAAATAGATTGATTTAGCAAACCTGAGTGATGTGGCTTGTTTAGTGGCAAAATCCCAAGTAATATGTGGAAGATAAATACTATTGTAAGACCATCTCCAACCGTTCACCAAATCCAACATCAAATTCAAATTTGATGAAAAAGATATGTTTTTCGTGCTCCAACAGTTGCACCAAAATAGTATCAAATTGAGAAAACATCAAACTTTTCACCAAACTGAGGATGGCTTGCCTCTTTTAGCAATTCACTGTGCATAGCCGTTGAGTTGGTCCTACCGGATGACCGATTAGACGTCCAACCAGATGTCCCGCTGGATGACCGATTTAAAACAAAATTTTGTGAGAATTTTACACTGGGGTTGAACCCCCGGTTGACCACCAAGAGTAACATATGAAGCAATGATGAAAGTTTACTCATGGAGAAAAAAACCTTGTCCGGTCAATCGGCCAGTCGTGATGAGAGTTTGCTCATGGAGAAAAAAACTTTGTCCAGTCGATTGGCCGGTCGTCCTACTGGACATCCTTGCCTTCTGATGCAAGCTACAGTGCACCCGTTGGAACAACTCATATCAGATTGAGAAAATTGTCATTTTTTTACTCAGATTTGATGAAAAAAATATTGAACCGTTGGAGATGCTCTAAGGTCGGTTAGCATTAATCTTAAATCAATCAAGAATAATCTTTCAATAAATTAAGAATTAACCAAATTCTTCATCAAACTTTAAAAGCTCAATGCTTCTTTATACATCTTAATTCAAAAAACTACGAAGATTATTCACCTATGTACATTTGTGCTCAGGTAAGCTCAAAGTAAACATGAAAATGTAGATGGAAATTACAGAGGAAAAAAAGTTGATAGGTATTTTGTTTGAATAGGGTAAAGCACTAAAAGGTTCTCTGTTATATTGGAAAGCTGTGTTTTCAGTCCACTGGTAACTACAATCTGAAAATTAGGCAATCTATAACATTTGGAAACAGATTGTACACAGAGGTCAAATTCATCCACAATCAGGGTAACCAAGATCAGGCAAAAAGATGAAATATGTACATTACACAAACTGAGAGTTTGTACAATGTGCAAAAAGAGCTCATATACATTTGTGCTTTATACATGCATTCTGAAAAGGAAAAAAAAAATCCAAATAAATGAAAACAAATGTTTCCTAATGAACGATTCAATTTCATGTTGCCATCACTGTTCATTATCCCTTATTGCTGCGAATGGCTCCTCAGTATAGTAGAAGCACTGGTCGATCCTCTTCAGTCAAGCTTGTGCCTACACAGGCACGAAGGAAGTAGATATTAAGGATATGAATAATACAATAGTTCACTCAAATTATTAACAAAAAATTAGTTGAGAAATCAGTATCTGACTGCCCATATACATATAACCAACTTTGCAGTACCTATGGACGTCTGAGGGATAAGTTGTCATGGAACTTCAACTTGTGCATTCCTCCGTAACTTGAAAGGCCTCTTAGATATTGCACTATGAATCAAAGCAGAGTAAAGCGGCATGCCATCATCATCATCATAAGCAGCCCAAACCCAATTTTCACCAACTTGAAAGGCCTCTTAGATGTCACACTATGAATTAAGGCATAGTAACACTGCATGCCATCATCGTCATCATAAGCCCAGACTTGATTTTCACCAACTTGAAAGGCCTCTTGGATATCAAGGCATGGTAACGTGGCAAGCCAATATCATCATAAGCAGCCCAAACCTGGTTTTCACCAACTTGAAAGGCCCCTTGGATATCACACTATGGATTAAGGCATAAGTAACATCGCAAGCCATCATCATCATCATAAGCAGCCCAAACCTGGTTTTCACCAACTTGAAAGACCTCTAGGATACCACACTATGAATCAAGGCATAGTAACGTGGCAAACCACCACTACCATCCTAAGCAGCCCAAACCAGGTTTTCACCAACTTGACAAGCCTCTTAGATATCGAGTTATGAATCAAGGCATAATAACATGGCCTGCCATCATCTATTATCGTAAGCTGCTCAAACCTGGTTTTTACCAAATCCAAACTGCACACCAAATTAAAATTAAAAATGACTAACAAATAGTAATAGACATCCTTTGCGTGTAGAAGTAAAAATAGTTAAAATAGTAAGATTGACTTCCATGTCTGGAAACTTGTAGATCAGTCCGTCGAGGATGATTAACTCACTCTACTGAGACACTTTTGCCTTTTTAGTTTGACACTGGACTTTAACCTACTTTGCTCAAACACTTTGTATAGACTTTTCTTATTCGCTACTAGACACCCCCTCCCCCCCCCAAAAAAAAAAAAAAAAAAAAACCTATTTTGATGTTTATAAAAATAAAAACGAGCAACAAGAAAACCACCTGGTCTGCAAGGACTTGTGTTTCGTGATATTAAGGACAAACCATTCCTTGAGTAGAGGGGAGATCTACCAGTGAAGGATCAAGAATTAATCTTGGAAAGCCACTATTTGGCTATATATACGTCCATTTCAACATGTTGAAGGAATTTTTTCTTGTACTCGCAAAAGTAACTTCTCAAACTTCGTTGTCTTTGCAGATTCGTCTTGACATTTGTGGTGTCATTTTAATCCTATTATTGTCTGAATGAGTTTAACCTATCTCCTCCACGCAAATAAGCTTATCTTTCCTATCTGCTTTTTCTTTTTTCTTTTTTCCAGTGAATTTTTTTTCTTGTTCTGCTTTCTCTCTGGTTATGCAAACAGAAAATTGAATTTTATATTGGAGATCTTTCTATCTCATCAAGAACAACATATTACAAAATAGATCAAGTGGTAATTAGGTTAAATTTTGTTTAACAAAGTGACATTGATCTGACTCTATTTTCAAAAATTATGTTGACAAAGCAACACACACAGAACAATTTGTTTAATTGGACTTCTAGAATTAATTTGTTGGCACTTATTACAATCCCATTTACCAGCTTTGGACAAAGCATTCATGAACAACATTGGTAATCATCCGTTCAACTATTTAATGTACTAATGGAAGTTCTATGTTCTATGTTACTTCTATATTTGTCTGAGCATGATAAGTTATCATGAAACTTCAACTTTTGCATACCTTGGCAGCTCTGTTCATTTGATTAATGTATTGTAAGACTTCCTTCTTTGACCTACAGCATTGGTCTCCTGGTCCCATATAATACTGCACAACAAATTAAACAATAGGAAGAATAGCTGCTAAGTATTACTAGCCATAAACAATCCAATACGGCATGAAAATTTAAAATTCCAAGAAAAAACTGATCAAAAGGCAGAATAAATGACAAAGAAACAGTAATAGATATCCTTCATGTATAGTAGTACCGCTCAAAAAGAAGTCCTACTACCTTGCAAGAGCATAAAGTTGTATCGACTTTCAATATGACGAAGGATATGGATTAGTTACAGAGTGAGAGAGCTTTGTTGGGTGGAATTTTCACTAAATTGGGGATGAGAGTGAAAGCTTAGTGGTTTTCTGACATTGATAAACGTAGAGAGGAGATTCAGAGTAAGCAAATGAATCTTTTGGTTGAAGAAAAAAATGGATCTCTGGTAGAAAGTTTTGCAACGTTTGGATTTTCTTTTTCCCAACTTACTCCGTTTTCTTGGCATAAAATCAGTTTATTTTGGTGGGGAAAAGAGAGAAGGATTGTGGTTTAGCATTTGGATGAGAAAAAATAATAATTAATTTTGTTGGTAACAAAGTGGCATTGATCTAACTCTATTTTCAGAAATTATGTTGACAAAGCAACACACACAGAACGATTCGTTTAATTGGACTCCCAAAATTAATTTGTCGGCGCAAAAGTCTTCAGAACCTCAAAGGAAGAATACACTTGAATTGGAAAAACAATTCAACTACCAAAAACACTAAATCACTCCAAAAGATTATGAATATGACCATGAAACAAAAAACTGCATGCAAAGCATAGAAGCAAGAAAATAACTATCAAATAAACCTTATGAAAATGAAACAACTTCAGTAATTTGAGATCGAAAAATGTTGTAAAATGTTCTAAGAATGTAGAGTTTACCTTATCAACATGGCCAACACTCCTTTCTGATTCTTCGAGGTCCAGGGTGCTGCTCCAGGTTTGTTTGAGGTCTAACCTTTGTCCCTGCTTGGACGTGAAGGAAAGTGGAAATTTAGCACATGGTTAATCCACTGCGTTGTGCACAGATTTGTTGGCTGCTTTGTGCACAGATTTGTTGGCCTAATCAATAATCAGGTATGTAAGAGTGTGAATTCAACTCAGTATAATTCTTAATTCTAGTGCAGAGGTCCAACTGCATAAGCCAAAAACTGAGCTTCCAGAAGTTCAGGGAAGTAAAATCAACATAATACAAGGCAAACAAAGAAGTTTCGTTAATTATCTTTACATAAAGTGTATCTGCACTTACTTTGATAGGGTCATGCATGATTTAATAATAAACAAAAATGGATTCTCAGTGTTGCCCACAAACAGTTTTGCAACACCAAAGCTAAATATCACCATAGAAACTCAGAATTTTAAGGATATGCAAAAGCTAATGACCACCCTTACTGTGACAAGCATTATAAAATTGCATTTCAATGGTTCCCTTGGGCAAGCATAAATTTTGGCATAGATGTATATTATTATAACAAGCAATCATCCTTATGAACAAATAATAAAATTTACAAAATAACCTCCTCCATTTCTCCATTTACTGAAAAAGGGTGTCAACGATTTAAACTGCCAAACTCATCTACTACTTGAAACAAAATTTAAACCTTCTATTTACAGATGTAGATAAGTAATGGAGTAGGAAAAAAGGAGGGAAAAAAATGTTGGAAAAACAAACATTTATAGCAAGCGGCGCATACCCAAGTATAAAAAAGTAAACTAGTTCTTGTAATTACTTTTGAATCAATATGTCGAACTCTGTGCATAATGCAAAAATTAATTTCCAGGATCAGAATTCAGAATAGTAAAGATTCTTTAATACCTCGAAACATTTTCTCTAGAAGTGTAAATGTTGTGTACGCAATCTATTGCAAATATAACAGCCTTCCCCCTTTTCTTTCTTCCATTGAATAAATGACATGAACAACTATAATATTGAATCCTTTTTTCCCCCTTCTTTGTTAAGAAAAAAAAGGACCGAGGACCGAACAATTTCAATAAATTAAACTCTACCAACTCATCCAATACTTCAAATAACTTCCATTTTAAGATTCATGAATGCTAAAATCCAGTGGGAGAAAAGAATAATAAAGCAAGGGAGTGCAGGTGCACAACATGTGGCCATGTAAAGCAAGCATGAAAAAGGGAAGCAATGAGAGACAATCCCTATGATAATAGAAACCAATGCGAAAAGCAATCACCATTTATGGTCCAACCTACATTGAGCTCAATCAATGTGGATTTCGAATTTGGAGAATTGATAAAAAAAAAAAAAAAGAATAAATTTTTTTCTCTGTTTTTTCCATTTGGGCTAGACAAGAAGACAATAAAGGGAAATAAGCCCCCGATATCAAGGTTGTGAGCAAAGTGGTCAAGGAAAATATAGAAAATTTGAAAATAATTAAGAAAAATGTTTCATCCACACAATTTCCTCCCCCACAATCCCCACAAATGAGGTGACAATACATAATGCAACTTCTATACCAATTGGAATGTGGGTCAACTTTTGAAATTTTGCTTGCTACCTCATTTGTGGGGATTGAGGGAGAGAAAATTGTGTGGATGTAGCACTGCTGAAGAATTAATATTTTGATTGAGCCCTCATTAAGGACAATATCCTCACTATACGTTACACTCTATTACTTTCACCAAGTAAATTAGCTATCTTTCTACAATTTTGAACTTCCATTGCTACCTGCTTTGGATTTCATTTCCATTTCTTTTTTTCCCCTCAAGATCTCAATGTTTTCAAACTTCCTTTATTAGTGTCATTCTTCCTTTCCTTTTTCCCTTCATCTCTTTTCCCTCCTTCTCTTTTTCTCTTTTTTCTCTCACAAAGAAGATTGTTATATCCACAATATATTAAGTGCTTGAGTAACATTTCGAGTAGGGTGAAAAAAACATTCTGTTAAGGAAACTCATATCATTAAACAACAAAGATCCATAATATTTTGTTTGATTGAAAATAACTTACCTTACCTCTGGGCTGAGAGTCACAAAGTTGTTCTTTTGCTAGAAATAAATGAAAAACATCTTTTTCACCTTTTGAATAGAGTTATTAGTTATAATAAATTTTTGGAATGAAAATCATGCCTAATTGGGAGAGAGAAAGATATGCCACAGTAAAATAATATTCATGAAAATTTTCTCACATATCAATTTTTTTAGCCAAGGTCTTATGTGTACTAACAAAATCAAAAGTTCAAACACATAAGGTATGCTCAAATTGGAATGTCTCACCTGACAACTCAACTTGACAATCATCACTGAAATGCTATAAACAACGACCTCATCCTCTTCTTCATAAGATTTCTCATCACTTGTGAACATTTGAAGGCCAATAAACTATAGGTGCAAAAATAAAGAAAAGAAAAAACAGGGTTTATTTGTCTTTTGAGCCAATAGTAAGAATATATGCATATACAAATATACAAAATAATTGAAGAAAGGGAGACACATTTTTTATCTACTCAGGAAGCTCTAGAAGCCATTCACTATACAACAAGATAAAAATTAGGTAAGAATGTACCTTTGTAAAAACAAATCGCTGGTGTGCTACCTCCAAAAGTACAAACATACTTGATCATCTCACTACGTATGAACCTCTGAAGTAGCAAAAGTTATTGTTAAGAACACTGAAAGAGATATAAAAACAGAATTGTTATACTTCCACATATATTCTTCCATAGACAGAAAGCCACAATCTATAGAAACTAATATACCAGTCAGAAACAATAATTATGATAATGATGGAAAGAACAACAATAGTGATAACACTAGCAAACTAACATGAAAATAGTGGCTTGTAACAACTAATAAAAAATTATTCAAAATTCATTATTTTGTTGATAGTAAAATTTTACGATATACATGAAAGTAAAAATTTTACCATCTTAATTTAGCATTTTTAAATATTAAGGGTGTGTTTGGTTTGTATTTGTAGAGTAGTTTTTGAAATAAAAAGTACGAAAACTTGTTTGGTTTGTCTTTTTTCAGAAATGGTTTTGAAAAATTGTTTTGGAAAGAGAGTTTTAAAAAAGTGATTGATTTGATGTGAATGAGAGAATAAGTGATTTTGGAAAGTAGGTAACCAAACAAAATTTTAAAAAAAAATTTAAAAAAAATTTATTTATTTTGATTACCTCTGAAAATTTATTTGTCAAGAATTTTTTCCAAATTTTTTTTTAAAAAACAAACCAAACAAGGCCTAAATTTTTCACCATCAATATTACCAACCAACACACTTAGTTTGATTTTATCATTATTAGTAGAGATATTAAACAAAAAATTTATCAAAACATTGAATCAATAATGTTAATAGAGTAAAATTTTACTATTCACTACTAAACAATTAAACAGTAAATTAAAACACTAAAACAATTTATTTGTTTCATATTTCAACTTCAATACTCAAACTGATCCTAATAGAAATAAAAAAATCTTTGTACCAACAGAAATGAGAAAGAAAATTGAGAGAGACAAAGTGGTGGCTGCTAATAGTAAGGTTAAGTTTCACAAGTTTCAAAAAAGTTAAAAAGTCAAAAAGTCACTATCCTAATTTAAGTTATATTATCTTATTTAAGTCATATCACCTCTTTAACACGTCATTTCAAACCCAACCCATATTTGATAAAAACTCAAAAAGTACACTTAAATCATCCCAAACAACCCCTAAATCTGAAACAATGGCAACGGTATTGGAGAGAGAGGATGGAGAGAGACAAGGCAACTTCAGTGGCCTTCTTCTCAGAGATCCAAGGTTTCTAATCTCCGATCTGAGGTCGTTGGTCTGAAGTTTGAGTTTGTCAGTAACGGATCTGAAATGGTGACGGTAAATGATGAAGGCAGCAGTCGATGATGTTAGATCTAAGGCCGGTGGATGGCGGAAACGATCAAACACTAGGTTGTGTCTGAGAGAGAGAGAGAGAGAGAGAGAGAGAGAGGACGGTGGAGACAATGAGCGGCAAGAGACAAAGTGCAAAGTGGTGGTCATCGACAGTAAATTTGAATCTAGGAAGCACGGATACGGATACGGGATACGGGTACGATACGATACGGATACAGCGATACGACAAAATTCGAAAAAGTAGGATACGGATACGGCAGGGATACGTTCATAAAAAATATTTTTTTCACAATTTTTAGTAATGTAGCATACACAAAAATAAAACTTCAACAATTTTCAGTAATGTAACATACATAAAATTAAAAAACATTTGAAGGCAAATAAACTATAGGTGCAAAAATAAGAAAAGTATAAGAAAAGAAAAAACAAGGTTCATTTGTCTTTTGAGCCAATACTAAGAACATATGCATAGTAATACAAATATACAAAATAATTAAAGGAAGGGAGAGACATTTTTTGTCAACTCGGGAAGCTCTAGAAGCCATTCACTTTACAACAAGATAAAAATCAGGTAAGAATGTACCTTGGTAAAAACAAATCGCTGATGTGCTACCTTCAAAAATACAAACATCCTTGATCATCTCACTATGTATGAACCTCTGAAATAGCAAAAGTTATTGTTAAGAACACTGAAAGAGATATAAAAACAGAATTGTTATACTTTCATGTATATTCTTCCATAGACAAAAAGCCACAATCTATAGAGACTAATATACCAGTCAGAAACAATAATTATGATAATGATGGAAAGAACAACAATAGTGATAACACTAGCAAACTAACATGAAAATAGCGGCTTGTAACAACTAATAAAAAATTGGAAAATGATTTAGAGCCCTAAAATCCCTCCCCCTAATCCCCTTAATTTCCTTTTCTGGAAACTGTTTTCTTTTTCTTTTCTTTTTTTTTTTTTTACTTAAAATGGATTTTCGGGGGATTCGGGGGTCCCCCTTTCGGGGGATGAATCACTTCCCTAAAAAATTATTCAAAATTCATTATTTTGTTGATAGTAAAATTTTACGCTATACATGAAAGTAAAAATTTTGCCATCTTAATTTAGCATTTTTAAATATTAAGGGTGTGTTTGGTTTATATTTGTAGAGTAGTTTTTGAAATAAAAAGTACGAAAATTTGTTTAGTTTGTCTTTTTCAGAAATAATTTTGAAAAATTATTTTGGAAAGAGAGTTTTAAAAAAGTGATTGATTTAATGTAAATGAGAGAGTGAATGATTTTGAAAAGTAGGTAACCAAACAAAATTTTAAAAAAATTAAAAAAAAAAATTATTTAGTTTGATTACCTTTGAAAATTTATTTGTCAAGAATTTTTTTCAAATTTTTTTTTAAAAAACAAACCAAATAAGACCTAAAATTTTCACCATCAACATTACCAACCATCACACTTAGTTTGATTTTATCATTATTAGTAGAAATATTAAACAAAAAATTTATCAAAATATTGAATCAATAAAGTTAACGGGGTAAAATTTTACTATTCACTACTAAACAATTAAACAATAAATTAAAACACGCAAACAACTTATTTGTTTCATATTTCAACCTCAATACTCAAATTGATCCTAATAGAAATAAAAAAATCTTTGTACCAACAGAAATGAGAAAGAAAACTGAGAATGAGAAAGAAAACTGAGAGAGACAAAGTGGTGGCTGCTAATAATAAGATTAAAGGCTGGTTTGGCATAGACTATATAATCCATCTTTTTATCTTTTTTCCATCACATCAGCTCTCTACTTTTCTGCACATCTTTTCGTGAAAAGACAAAAAGTACACTTTTTTAGGACACCCCAAACCAACCCTAAGACCAAATTTGACATGTTCATAAAAAGTTAAAAAATGAATACTATTTACTAAAAATCAATAATTACGATTACACAACTCTTAATCTTAATTTTCTCTTACAAATTAATTTTTATAATTTTTATTACACATTTTTTTTTTATAAAAAGTCAAAAATTAATCTAAACATCTATATTTTCTTCCTTAATTTTTTAGTAAAAAGAATAAAAAATACACTTATTTAGAACACCCTAAACAACTCCTAAATTTAAGACATCTCAAAATACACTTATTTAAGAAACCCTAAACAATCCCTAAATTTCACAAGTTTCAAAAAAATTAAAAAGTTACTATCTTACGCTATGTTTGGTAACTTAGGAGAGAAAAGAAAAGAAATGATTACTTAAGTAATAAGAGAAAAGAAAAGAAAAGAAATGATTGTAATTTCTCTCCTTTTTGTTTGGATAAGTAAGAAATAAAAGAAAAGAAATGATTGTGATTTCTCTCATTCTTGTTTGGTTAGATTTCATTAAGAGAAAAGAAAAGAAATTATTTTATGTTATATTACCAAAATAACCTTTTTATATTTTCAATCATTTTATTTCTTTTATTTTTATAGGGGTAAAATTAGTATTATAAAAATATAAACATTTGTAGATTTCTTTTCTCTCCCAATCTCTCCACTTTTAGGAAGATTGAAAATAAGGGTTATGATTTTTTCCCATTTCTCTCCACTTAAGATAACCAAACAAGGAAGAGAAATACATTTCTCTCTATTTCTTTTCTTTTCTCTCTAAATCACTCAATCCAAACACATAATTTAAGTTACATTATCTTATTTAAGTCCATTATCAAAAGGTCCACTTAAATCATCCCAACCAACCCCTAAATCTGAAACAATGGCAACGGTATTGGAGAGAGAGGGTGGAGAGAGACAAGGCAACTTCAGTGGCCTTCTTCTCAGAGATCCAAGGTTTCTAATCTCCGATCTGAGGTCGTTGGTCTCAAGTTTGAGTTTGTCAGTAACGGATCTGAGATGGTGACGGTAAATGATGAAGGCAGCGGTCGATGATGTTAGATCTAAGACCGGTGGATGGTGGAAACGATCAAACACTAGGTTGTGTCTGAGAGAGAGAGAGAGAGGACGGTGGAGACAATGAGCGGCAAGAGACAAAGTGCAAAGTGGTGGTCACCGACAGTAAATTTGAATCGATGGCAATGGGGTTGGAGAGGGAGAAGGCAACTTTTGTGGCCTTCTTCTCACAGATCTGAGGATTCCGATCTCCAATCTGAGGTCGTTGGTCTCATATCTGAGTTTGTCGATAACGGATCTAAGATAGCGGTGGTTAACAGTGAAGTGTCGATAACGAATCTGAGATAGCAGTGGTTAACTGTGAAGGCAGTGATTGTGAATGTTAGATCTGAGAACGGCGGATGGTTCAAATGATCAAACACCAGATTGTGTTAGAGAGAGAGAGAGAGAAAGAGAAAGAGAGAGGACGGTGGAGACAATCAAACACTAATTTTGTGTCCGAAAGAGATAGATATAGAGCGAGCGAGAAAGAAAAATGAGGGAAAAAGATTACATACTAAGAACAAAGAAAGAAAGAGAGCAAATGATGTCTTAAAGAAAAGATACAAGCAAATCACATCATATAAAAATGGTATAATAACAAGGCACAATAAAATATAATCACTTGAATGTAGAAAGATAAAATTAAAGGATGTACCTGTAAAAATGGCCCCATCTCCAATGAGGAAAGGAGAGATGCAAAGATTACATGAATTGTGGACCAATCCCAACCTTTGTCTAACACATTAATAAACACCATCAACAACTAAATCTGCAAGTTTGCAACCAAAGATATGTTTCTATCTTCTTTTTATTTTTTTATAAGTACCAAAGATATGTTTCTATAACCAAGGATCGAAGCAAATAAGAGGTGCTTCAGACTCATAGATTGAATTGCAGGGAAAGCATATAGATGAATCCCCTGCCTCGTGATTTGGAGCAAAGAAGGCAACAAAAAAGCAAGGTTGCTAACTCCATGAATTGGAATAGAAGCAAGAAATTGTCTAATCAAATTGAATATAAAAGTATTGATTAGATGGTAGAGCTAATCACAAGAAGCAATTAGTTTGAACATCCACTAGAGCTTCAAAGGAGATTAAGGTCAAAACCTCTGATTTCTTGCCTACTAGAATGCCTAAATAGAGATTCAGGGCATCAAAACTTTCTCAATGTCTTTCTATGACCATTATTTTTCATGTCACTAAACCATAGAGGTCATGGCATTATATAGTCTTAGATTAGGGTTGGCGTT